ATATATTATTATATAATATAGTATATATAAACAAAAATATGTTATATATATAAAATATATTATAACAAAAATAAATATATATATAATCAAAAACATATTATCATATAATATAGTATATGCAAACAAAAATATATTACATTAAACATAAATATATATGTAATTGTGTATGTAATAACACATGTAATCAAAAATACATTTTTAGTAATATATTAATATATATTAATATATATTATCGGAAATATATTAATAACATATATATAGTCAAAAACATATTCTACATTATTATTAAAAATGTATTTTTACATTTATACATACTTTTTACAGTCTCGTCTTTCGCGCGTGGAGCGCTGTCCGAATAATTCCGCGGGCCGGTAAACTCGCGGGAAAATTCGAATGGGTCGTTCTCACGGAAAGGGCGATCGAACGCGCTTCGAGAACGCGTGGGCGGGTTTCGCTTCCCAGGGATACGCGGCCGGAACGTGTTCGAGGTTCGTTACAGCCCGGGGTTTATTTAAATCGTCGTCACTCTCGCCGCATTGTTTACGCCCGATAGAAAGCACAGGACGTGCTTAACCTAACCCAATGCTGGCTTCTTTCTTTTCCACTCTCTCTCTTTCTCTCTCTCCTCTCCAGCGACGAGAGTTCGAGGAGATCGTGAGGGGGGTGACACGATCGGGACAGGAACACGCCAGCCGCCCCGAGGAACAGCACAGAGACGAAACGAACGGTGCATCGACCCTCGAACACGTGGCTCACCACCATCGAGATATATCCCGGGCCTCTCTGTGTTTTCCTCTCTCCTGCAGCCATATGCGCTTGGCTTCCTGGCTGCACTTCGTTTATAAGTGCACTTCATCGTCGCCGGCTGAAGCGCCCGAAAGCGACGGGTGGTTATTTCGAGGCGAACCCCTGGACAAGAAAGGAAGAAAACAAAAAAGAAAAAAAAAAAAAAGGAGGAGGAAAGACAAAGAAGAACAACAAAAAAAAAAAAAAGAAAAAAGAGAACGAGAGAATTCCCTCCCCTTCGCCAT